ACACACACACACACTTTCCTCCAAAACATTTCAAAATAATTCATAAATGAGAACAAGTAAATATAACACTGGTGCATTCTGTGTTGTATTTATTGGTAAAATATCAATAGATGTTTTTTTATATGCTAGATTTCCAGCAAGGGAACCACAAAAAGAGGGGCCAAGGGAGGCTATGGCCCTGAGATTACCCCCCACCCCCATCTATCTATCTATCTATCTATCTATCTATCTATCTATCTATCTATCTATCTATCTATCTATCTATCTATCTATCTATCTATCTATCTATCTATCTATCTATCTATCTATCTGTCTGTCTGTCTGTCTGTCTGTCTGTCTGTCTGTCTGTCTGTCTGTCTGTCTGTCTGTCTGTCTGTCTGTCTGTCTGTCTGTCTGTCTGTCTATCTTTCTATCTATCTATCTATACTAAAATAAACTACTACTTACAGTAAATACTACAATACACTACCGTGCCACTTACTACTACTACTGTACATAATTTTGTTCCAGCTCATGTACCATGTGAGATGGTAATGATAATAAAGTTTACTTGAACTTGGACATCTATCTCCCTACTTTTCGTTTTTTCACTTATCGTGGGGGGCGCGGTCCCAAACTCCCGTGATAAACGAGGGACTACTGTATTTTTTTATTTCCTCTAGCTATTTAGTAACAGTAGAACTTCAATACATAAAAAACATTGTTTTAGAAAAAATGTTTGGAAAGACATATTTTTATTCAAAGATTACCTTTTAAGAACCTTTCACTTTTGGTGTGCCCCCCTAAAATTATCAGTGCCCCCCTGTGTCCTCCGCCCCCATTAAAAACTTTCTGGAGGTGTTCTTGTTCCCTCTTTTTTAAAATTTATCTATTTATTTATTTTGGGGGGCGGGTTATGTTCTACATCTGTAGTTTTCATTCTGTTAGGAAAGTAAATACATTTAAAACTGTTTCTTATTGGTTCTTTTAAAAAATCAAGTGCTTCAGCCTTTTGAAACGTTGTTCAGTCAACAGTCGTGAACAGAAATAAAGTGACAGTAATTTGTAATTAAAGTACTGTGTTTACTGTTCATGGTAATTTGATTCAGTCTCACAAAAACATAACTTGTATTAGCGTGATTTTTTATTTTATTTTATTTTAAGTGAGAAAAGATAAATGTTGAGGCCAGTAAATATGTTAAATCACTGCTTTTAGCATATGAAACACGACAGAAGGCGTACCTCGTTAGGACATGAAGGCTTGATCGAAACAAAAGTTTTCTGTTGTAGATTTATTATTAATTGGAAAGTATCAGTGAAAGTTACTGACTTCACAACAATGGAAGAACAGGAAAGAAACTGTTACAGGAGAGGAGAACAGAGAAAAGTCACAGAAAACAAGCATTTTTACAGATTTATGATCTTTTAGAAACAAGAACCTGCTGTCAAATTTAAAATGATCCTGCTGGTTATCACAGGAAGCTCCACTTTTTAGTATTTAATCTTCATGTAAGCATTAAAACATCATTCCAGCAGAGTCCTGCAGACAGACAGCAAACACACAGAGGAACAACGTTTCACATCATTTCAACATGAAGGTTCATTAACAGATAAAGTGTCTAAGAGGAGGTGGACAACAGGTGCAAGCACAACGTTTACGTCCAGATTTAAATGGTTCAGGGTGAAAAATGTAAAGTCAGCTGAGTTCACGGATCAGTAGAGAAAAGTTCAGAGGACCAAACCGGACATGTTGCAAAGTTAAATGTGCTTCACAGCCAGTAATCTGTTCCTCTTTGTGCAGAATACTTTCAATCTGCTTCGGCTGACGTTTTCACAATCCTCTTGTAGTGAGCACCTTCACAAACCACCAGGATGAGCTCAGTTATCTGTTTGGTGTCAGGAAAACGGCTGAATCATGAAAGTTAATCCAGATTATTCAACAAGACTCTTCCATGAACTTCAATAGTTTCCTGACATCTAACTAAAATACAAAGAAAAGTATAATCAACAGGAAGATTAACACATCTGAAGACTTTATTTTGCAGGTAGTTGAAGCTAATCTTGATTAGTTGTCAGTTTTAGTAACTCTGAGGTCAAACTGTTTTCTGTCAAATGCTCCAGCCACAAAGAAGCGAGGCCACAAGCAGAGGAGCCACTGATCGGGTGGAGCTGACCGCTGCAGACCTGTGAAAACAAGAACAACATGCCACAGATCATTTTCATGCCTTTGATCGTCTCCCGTTATTCCCTCACCTGGTTTAAGTTGCAGAAACTAGGATGCAGCAAAACTTTCAGCAACGTTTGAAACTCCGAAGGGACTCCCAATGCTCGCTTCCTAAAAACGACCTCTGAGCTGATTTCATCTGGCGTTACAGAGAAACTCATACAAGCTGCAGTACCACCTGCAGCAGTAAAAGTAGAGCAATAATGCAACTGTCTGTGTATGCTGTTAGCAAAATATCACATGAACCACTGGACTGACTTTGATTATCTCTCAGAGTAATTACTGGATGTTCGGGGGACTGTGTGTGTGTTTGCAACACATTTCAATTCAGCTCCTTAAGCTTTTATTTTAAAGCTATTTTTATCTAACATGTGGCTCCGTTGGAAGAGTTGTTGCCTCTCAGCAAGAAGGTTGCCGGTTCAAATCCCGGCCCGGGACCTTTCTGGGTGGAGTTTGCATGTTCTCTCTGTGCATGCGTGGGTTTTCTCCGGGTACTCCAGTTTCCTCCCACAGACCAAAAACATGCATGTTAGGCTAACTGGTCCCTATGTGTGAGTGAGAGAGTGAATGGTTGTTTGTCTCGTTTGTCTCTATGTGTCCCTGTGATGGACTGGAGACCTGTCCAGGGTGTCCCCCGCCTCTCACACAGTGACAGCTGGATATGAGCACCAGTGACTCCGCGACCCAAATGAAGACGCAGGTAAAGATAAAGGATGTTTGTTTGTTTACAATAAAATGCACCAATTCACATCTTTAATGTTCATCACAGAGTTGATGGGAAACACAGAGCGGTCCTCTACTCTAGGCTGTAACATTAAAAGCAGTTCAAACAGATGAACTCATGAAGGTCTCCTGTTTTGGATGTTAAGAACGTACTGAGTTGTTCGCTCACAACTATGCATTGTTGAGAATGTTAAAGATGCAACTTCTGTTTGTGGGTGGCACAACATAACCCGTTTCCCCAAATCCCATCTTTACAAAACATGACTGGCAGATTGATCTTCACCTGGTGGTTGCAGATGTTTCAGCTTCACCTGGTGGTTGCAGATGTTTCAGTGAATGTGTTACAACCCACCCACCCCCGTCAGAGATTATTTTATTACCTGAGTCAGAGTCAGAGTCAGAGTTTCTTTATTGTCATTCGCACCTCATGTGGTACATGTGGTGGAGCGAAATTATGTACACGGGGTCCCAGTTACATCCAACAATAAAATGTATAAGAAAAACAGTAATAACATCTAAGATATGAACTAAGAAAAACATCAACTAAATATACACTAAGCACTCATAACATAAAACATTGAACATCACCACAAACATGAACATGAGTCTGTGAGCAGATGTGCACGCATGAACACATCAACATTGAAACAGATCAGCAGCAACATGAAACAGATCAGCAGCAACATGATATGGTTTTTCACAGTGATTATTCTAGTTAGAGATTCATGAGTCTAACAGCCTCAGGGTAGAAGCTGTTCCTCAGTCTAGTGGTTCTACACTTAATGCTCCTTAACCTCCTTCCTGAGGGGAGTGGGGCAAAAAGTGTGTGTGCTGGGTGGGTGGGGTCCTTCATGATGCAGGTGGCCCTCTTCCTGCATCTGGAGGTGTAGATGTCTGTGATGGTGGGGAGACTGATTCCAACAGATTTCTGTGCAGCCTTCACCACTCTCTGCAAAGCTTTTCTTTCTGCAGCTGTGCAGCCTCCATGCCACACGTTGATGCTGGAGCACAGGATGCTCTCCACTGCACACCTGTAGAAGGAGGTGAGGACTGAGCTTCCCAGACCAGCTCGTCTCAGCCGCCTGAGGAAGTAGAGTCTCTGATGAGCTTTCTTGATCAGGCTGGTGGTGTTGTTGCTCCAGCTGAGGTTGTCATTCATATGTACACCCAAGTACTTGTAGCTGGAGACCACTTCCACCGCAGATCCTCTTATGTTCAGGGGGGTGTAGGTGTTTTTGTTCCTTCTGAAGTCCACAATCATCTCCTTTGTCTTCTTCACATTGATGTGAAGGTTATTCTCTCTGCACCAGCTCTCCAGGTGTTCCACCTCTTGCCTGTAGCTGGACTCATCATTGTTTGTGATGCATCCCACCACCGCTGTATCATCTGCAAACTTTACAATGTGACCGCCTGGATGGGTAGCTGCACAATCATATGTGAGCAGAGTAAACAGAAGGGGGCTCAACACACATCCCTGAGGAGAGCCAGTGCTGAGGGTTATGGTGGAGGAGGAGAGGTTGTGGATCCTCACTAACTGTGGTCTGTTTGTTAAAAAGTCTAGCACCCAGTTGCAGATGGAGGGGCTTAGTCCTAGTGTGGATAGTTTGTCCATCAGGGTTTGGGGGATCATGGTGTTGAAGGCGGATGTGAAGTCCACAAAGAGCATATGGACGTAAGAGTTTTTCTGCTCCAGGTGGTTGAGCGCAGTGTGGACCACAGAGGAGATTGCATCCTCTGTTGATCGGTTCTCACGGTATGCGTACTGATGAGGGTCCTCGTTGATGTTGATGGTTGTTTTGATGTGAGTCATGACCAGTTTTTCGAAGTATTTAGCGATGATAGCAAGTCAGAACAGGGATTTAATTTAGCAACAAGATGTGTGACTGAAGAAGCTGCAGTTTAACCTGCAGAAGCACAAAATGAAATAAAGTCTTAACTAAACAAACTACTTTTTTATCTCAAATGTTTCCTCCTGGAAATCTCCACACACAGACCACGTGGTAATTTGAGGAAGTGGGAGGAGCCTGAAATGATCACACACTTGTGCTTCATTCTTAATCTGTTGTTCAAATGATCGAGTCGTAAACCTGATTAGCTTTTAGAGTTGACCTCGTCCACCTTAGTCAACGATAAATGGTTTCAGTGAATTTGACACATATTGAGAAGAACTTGGTGTGGTGGTAACTGAGAGTTGTTCTCAACATACAGCACAACATACATTGTACAACATACAACAAAAAATCCAAGATGGCCGTGCTCAGCCGAGTCGCAGCTTCACAGGCTCCCGGTGAACTCAATCTTTTTTGTTCCTGTTGTTTCTGTTTTAACCATTTTTTGCACCTACAATGCACATCCACCGTACAGGTATGACCACGACACATTTGTAGAGGTTTCTGTGTCGCTGCCTTGTTATCCTGCCATCGTGGTTCAGTCCTTCCAGCCTCGGGCTCAGGCCTGTCATGGTAGCTGTCTCCATGATCCTCCATCTGCCTGCACAGACCGAACTCTACGGACTCATGCAGTTCCGTGAAGAAACCTGGATGTCCTCCGTCTGCCAGACCCAGTTCTGGAGGGCAGTCTGGGAGGGCAGATGCTGCAATCATCGTTACCATTGTGCTGCTGATAGGACCTGCTAACAAGATCCTCCATCTGCCTGATTGGACCGAACTCTGCAGACCCACTTATTTCCGCGGGGTAACCTGGATGTTCTCTGTCTGCTGGACCCAATTCTGGAGGGCAGTCTGGGAGGCAGCTGCTGCAGTCCTTATTATCATCATGCTGCTTGAGGGACCTGCTAACAAGACCTGCTAACGCTGCTAACAACACCATGCCGCTAACAGTACCATAGTGCCAACGGGGCAGGGCAGCCGACTCTCGACCCGAAGGTCCCGGGTTCAATCCCCGGTCATTGCACACTTCGTGGTGTCTCTGAGCAGGATACCTTATTCCCAGTTGCTCCCCGGGCACTTTCCATAGCTGCCCACTGCTCTACCTGGTGGTGGATGGGTTAAATGCAGAGAGCCAATTTGCCATTGTATGGGAACATATAATGATGACAACACATACACATTATTATTATTATTATTATTATTATTATTATTATTATTATTATTATTATTATTATTATGTTGCTAAGAGAAACCTCATTGCTAACAGTATCATGCTGCTAACTGGACCATGTTGCTAAGCCTTGTCGCTGTTTTAAGTGCTCTATAAATAAAATGGTATGGTAAGATAACCTCACTGTCATCAAAACCACTCTGCCAATAGGACCATGCTGCTGAAGATTTATTTCTTTTTCACGTTTGGCACCTTGTTTCTGTATTTTTGTTGCATGCTTTGAATAAATCCTAGTTTATGTTAGTTTAGTTTATGTTAGTGCTCACATTAGGTGTGTACATTATAGCTGAACAGAACCTAAGAGAATCATGCTGCTGTTGTTCGGTGTATTGTTTTGCAACTATTAGTGACTAGCGTAGATCTTAGATATTTTAGTGTACCATTTGGTGTTCGTTTAGTGTATATCTTAGTTTATATCCCGGCTCTTTATTTACTGTTTCTTTTTACACTTTATATTTTTGCTATTGTTTGATGTAACTGGGACCCTGTGTTCACAATTTCGTTCCACCACATGTACCACATATGATGCGAATGACAAATAAAGAAACTCTGACTCTGATACAGTCTGAGCGTGACAGTGATCGACATCTTTGGTTAAAACTGTAGTGTGTGAAGCGATGGGAAATGTGCTGTTCTTTACTACTATGCTATTATTTTATTATTAATCAAGGTTGAATATGTTCTTAGTAAAGTTTATCGTCTGCACTGGATGAAGATGCCTTATTGAGTTTTCAACATTTAGGGTTTTAAACAACATAACATGCAAACTTGTGTGATTAGGAAACGACGTGGTGTTTTTGAAACTCCGCTCGTGACACCAAACCCATTTATGACCTGCTAATAAACAGACTGAGTCAGAAGCTTTCTGGACATGAATGAAGTGACGTTTAGCTTACCTTGGGAACATGTAGCAGTCGTGGGTGCTGTTCAGGCCCTGGTGGGTTAAAATCACCTCAGTGTACTCGCCTTGATTAAGTTTGTGTGAGTCCTCCACCGTGAAGACTTCAGCTGGAGATATGAGGGTTTTCAAGATGTTTTTCTCACAGATGTGGTCGTCCAGATTGACGTAGAAACAAGATTTTATACGTAAAATGGTTTCTCCATCCACATCTCCAAGGCTGTCAAAGTCCGAGTGGACCACAGTGAAACCTGAAAACCTCACTCTGGTGCCCACCAAAGGCTTGTCTTCTTCTTCCTCCAGGAAAGCGAAGACGGTTCTGCAGGTTTTATTCGGGTTCAGCAGCCTCATGGAATCTGTAAGCAGGAAGTGAAGGGACTTGAAATGGAAGTTGTCTTTGTAGGTGGAAAGGTTTGCTCCCATCGTCTCCACTGCCTGGTTTAGCTCCTTGAGAAACTCTGGGTCTCCGAAGTGGAGGACTGAAAGTGCAGTGGTGTGGTCTTTGGTTCCTCCAGGGATCAGAGGACACTGGGAGTTCGAGCGCCACACTTTCTGGAAGCCCTTAGACGAGTTGAGTTCTTGTTCCAACAGGTCAGGGATGAACTTCTTCATGGCTTCTTCATGGCATGCACCATACAGATCATCCACAACATTCAGGGTCATGCTCAGAGGTTTCACACCAACCCCGGCCACCTGTAGAGTCCATGTTTACAGGAGAGAACAGTTTTACTCACAGGAGCTGTATGAGATCATTAATGTGACAAATAATACTGACTTGGCTGTGGACCATGTAGATGATGGCAGCGAGGAGCAGTTTCCCTCTATCAAACATCCTGAGACGTCTTCTTCCACAAACTGCTGTGAGAAAAAGAAAAAGCTCTTAAGTCTGTCCACAAGATCGGACTTGTTGCTCAACTAGTTCAGAAATGTTAGTTTGATCTTCTGTCTTCTCCGTTTCCTTCAGGATACAACATTCCTCCTTTAATTGGAAACATAAACATTAAATTCAACATGCAAGAAAAGTGGAGACTCAAACCTTTAGGGAGGAGAATAATATCTGAGGCTCTCTCAGACTGAAGTCCAACAAACTGCGAGGGAGTGATTGTTTTCGGCAGAGAGAAGTGAGGTACTCATACTTATCTCACTGAGCAACTGTTTTCCTGTTTCTGAGGAAGGAAACAGAAAACCTCTGGAGAGAGACCTGCACTCGCTTATTCCCCACAAGCTACTCTAAGAACTGTCTGTCTTTCTTTCTTTCTTTCTTTCTTTCTTTCTTGTTTCTTACAGATGTAATATGTATGGAATGTTATGCGATAACGTTCAATAAATTGCCTCCCTAATAAATCTTCTTCCCTTGCTGATTAAATACAAACCACCCATCATTTATTTATACTTATTTTCAGATGACTATTTAAAAAAGGCCTTGTTCCGTTACTTACAGTGCCTTGCGAAAGTATTCGGCCCCCTTGAACTTTTCAACCTTTTGCCACATTTCAGGCTTCAAACATAAAGATATAAAATTTTAATTTTTTGTGAAGAATCAACAACAAGTGGGACACAATCGTGAAGTGGAATGAAATTTATTGGATGTGTCAAACTCTTTTAACAAAAAAACTGAAAAGTGAGGCGTGCAATATTTTTTGGCCCCCTTGCGTTAATACTTTGTAGCGCCGCCTTTTGCTGCAGTTCCAGCTGCAAGTCTCTTGGGGTTTGTCTCTATCAGTTTTGCACATGGAGAGACTGAAATTCTGCCCATTCTTCCTGCAAAACAGCTCGAGCTCAGTGAGGTTGGATGGAGAGCGTTTGTGAACAGCAGTCTTCAGCTCTTTCCACAGATTCTCGATTGGATTCAGGTCTGGACTTTGACTTGGCCATTCCAACACCTGGATACGTTTATTTGTGAACCATTCCATTGTAGATCTGGCTTTATGTTTTGATCATTGTCTTGTTGGAAGATAAATCTCAGTCTCAGGTCTCTTGCAGACTCAAACAGGTTTTCTTCCAGAATGGTCCTGTATTTGGCCCCATCCATCTTCCCATCAATTCTGACCATCTTCCCTGTCCCTGTTGATGAAAAGCAGGCCCAAACCATTATGCTGCCACCACCATGTTTGACAGTGGGGATGGTGTGCTTAGGGTGATGAGCTGTGTTGCTTTTATGCCAAACATATCGTTTTGCATTGTGTGGGGGGCGGCAAAACTGTTCAGCGATTTGTAGACATACAGGAGTATTTTGAACTGGATTCGAAAGTGAACCGGTAACCAGTGCAGTGAGGCCAAAACTGGTGTAATGTGCACTCTTTTGCCTGTACTGATTAAAAATCGGTCTGCTGCATGCTGGACAAGTTTTATTCGTGCAATGGAGGTCTGACTGATACCAAACAGGAGTGAATTGCAATAATCAAGCCTAGATGTAATGAATGCATGTATTAATGTCTCCAGTTTATTTTTGGACAATATGGGCTTCAGTTTAGACAGCCGCCTCAGTTGGAAGAAACATGATTTAACAATCATTTTTACATGACTGTTAAGTTTCAGGGAAGGGTCCATTATCACGCCCAGATTAGTGACTTTTTGTTTTTTTGACTGGGTTAGAGCGGAAAGGTTGATGCAGTGGTTTGTGATCGTGTCATTGGGAGGGAACAACATGTCTTCAAACTTCTTTTCATTGAAACTTAAGAAGTTTAAAGCCATCTAGTCCCTGATGTCAGCCAGGCAGTCGAGCAGAGGTTGAATAGAGCATGTACCATTGTGTCTTAGGGGGAAGTAAATTTGACAGTCATCGGCATAGAAGTGAAAGGGCATGTTGTGTTTCCGGAAAATAGCACCAAGTGGCAGCAGGTATAGAGAGAATAGGAGGGGACCCAGGATGGCCCCCTGCGGAACCCCCCATTTAAGCTCTGCCGCTGCAGAACTAAAATCCTTGATGGAGACACAAAAGGATCTGTCAGTGAGGTAAGATCTGAACCAATTGAGGGCTGATCCTGTGATGCCCACCCACTGCTCCAACCTAGCAATGAGGATCTCATGGTCGATGGTGTCAAAGACGGCTGTGAGGTCCAACAGGACAAGCAGCACAGAACCGGTATCAGTGGATATGAAGATGTCATTAAAAACCTTCAATAGGGCAGTTTCAGTGCTGTGGAGAGGTTTAAAGTCCGATTGGAATAGTTCAGACAAAACAAACAAAATTAAATGAAAAATAACAATCAAGGAAATACTTAAATAATGTAAATGAACAATTACTTGAAACCACATAAAACTGTAATTTTTTTTAAAAGTTGAATAATTAGTTTTTAAAACTATGTAAATGTATGCAACAATTTGCAAAAGCTGAACTTAAAATAAGGCTTCTTCAGGAAGGCTTCATCAGTCAAGGAAACACATTCCTGTTTCCTTGACTGATCAAGCCTTGTGGATGGAAGGTGAAACTTTCAGACAAAAAAGAAAGAAACTGTCCAGATGACCTGACTGAAAATTGTTGGAGGATTGTATACCTGGATTATTGAGCATGAACTTTTTTGGTTAACAATAGACAGTCATAAAATAGGGATACAAATTTAAGTTTCTCTTTTTTATCAAATCAAAACAAAATAACAACCAAAAGGACAATCAAGAGGAATAGCAGCAAAAAAAAAAAAGCAGCTAGATCAAAAGGTGATTTAGAAAACCAAAAACAGGTCTGTATTGGCTCCCGCCAGGTACTCAACAGCCCGGCGATTACGCAATTAACTATTGTTAATTGCTGTTAACTGTTGTCAACTGTTCATTGGGAGCTATTGCTGTAGTTAGGGTTATTTATTGTATTTTATTTAATGTATAGGGGCAGAAGTTGCTGGACTGATGTTAACCACCAACTTGATTTTCTCTCGCTAGAATAAATACAGTGAGCCTGAGTGTGTCTGTTGTAAAGTCAACCTACTGGACCTGAGACAAACAAAGAGGGTTAGACATGCAGTCTTTGAAACACATTGGATGTTCGTTTTATTTTATAGAAACATTTGTTTTTTTGAATTATTTTTTTTGTGTGTGTGGTTGATTCTCATTTTGAAAATAAGTTTCCGGAAGCTGCTTGTTGGGCGATACTATAATTCTCTTAGGGGTAGAAAACTAAAACTTCCCTGCACATCTTATTCGCTCTTCCTTCAACTGAGATATTTTTTTTGTTTTATAAAATCTTTATTTAAGAGCTTGTGGTGTTAAAGTGTTTTAAATATGTTTTAAACTGTGTTTTGTTTTCTTGTTTACCGATTCGTCGATGGACTCAGCTCACTTCCGCTTCCTGTAGCGCGAAAAAAAAAAAAGTTTATTATGTATGTAACGTGTCCTACTTGTTATTTTCTTACTGTCAAACAGAGTCTGCACGAAGTTAAATAATTTTAACAAAGTACCGAGGAGACATTTCAACACAACTGTAACGTTGCTGAAGGTTTGTGAACTAACGGGGCTACCGTAGCACGGCGCTTTAGTGGCGAAGCGCGATTTGTTATATTTTCCTTATTTTTAAAATTATTGTAATTTAGGATAGAGGTATACGTATATATAAGTAGACAATACTAATGCAAATAATTTAAAAACATTTGATTATAAACTTTACACCAGGCACCAACGCTGAGCCACTTCCTGTTTACAGCGGTGATTGACACGTGAGCAGCAGGGATCTGTAGTGAGAGTAGGGAGCAGATTAAAGAAAGTCTGGAGAGGGTTGTGACAGAATGAATGTTTCAATGGGAGGTGTAGGTGTATGCAGGTGATCCAGGTGTATCAAGAAGCTGCGAGGACTGTTGGTAGGGGATGAATTTAGGTACCTGGGGTCAACCATCCAAAGCTGGAGAGGTGAAGCAGAGAGTTCAGGCAGGGTGGAGTGGATGGAGATGAGTGGGAATGATTTCTGACAGGAGAGCTGTAAGAGCAACCAAAAAGGTTTACCGGATGTTGTACCTGCTGGGACGTTTGGCTGGAGAAACTTTCATTGACATTTGCTGCTTTTTCCAGTTTAAGGGATGTCAGAGTAGCAGAAGGTTGTCCAAGCATCCCTTTGTCTGCAAGCTCTTTTCTCTGGAGGATGAGCAGGTGGGGAGAACGACTGAAGAAGGTGGAGCAGCTTGCTGAGTCATTCCAGCAGCATCCCCTGACGACACGCTACAAACCTCGACTGTGGCCGTGTCAGCCCTCCTCCGTCTGGAAGCTCTTTCCCCGTCAAAACATGGCCGTCGGTTTCGCTCAGAGCTGCAAAGAGGTACAAAGAATCTGCCTCCTGATTTCTTAGTTTACACCCGATGTGTGTGAAAGTGGAACTGCTGACTTACTTTTAAATATTTGTAGGCTGTACACATTTTTGCTCTTGAAAAAGAAAAGGCTTCTCAGGGCCAAAGGATCTACCTGGTGACCAGTTACAGCGAGCTGTGGCATTACTACAGGTGAACACCACATGGACCTTTTCCATGTGAAAGAGGAGATCTCAGGTCTAAAGTTTTCATTCATCTCGTGTCTATTCCAGAACGTACCCACAGTCGTTGATGCACTGCTATGAGGTGATCCCAGAGGGAGCTGTGTGTAAGATTTACTTTGACCTGGAGTTCCACAAACCTTCAAACAGAGAATCTGATGGGAAGTCTATGGTGGCTTTGCTTGTTCAGGTAGAGAACATTTTCCTATAATTGATTTTATATATATATATATATATATATATATATATATATATATATATATATATACATATTTTTTTTTTTTTTTTTTTAGGGCATTAACAGAGTACTCGAGTAATCTACACTTCGATTGCTAGAACATCTATCGAGGTTAAAAATTTAACATCGAGTATCCGTAGTGACGTCATATTATGTGACCACCGTAGGGGGCGGTGTTGCACTGTTTCAGGTCACAGAGTATGGTGTAACACGGTGTCCAATGCACCGAACCAGAACCAGTTTCGGTTTAAGTTTCGTTTTTGACGTGCTGCATGTTTCTTCACGTTTGCAGTTTAATAATAATAACTAATAGTTTAGTTTTTCCTGTGACTTATTTGCAGTATGCTAAATGGTAGGAGCATAATATACGCTCCCAATGTTTTGTTGGTCTTTTTTTTTTTTGTAAATAATTACCTTTTTTTGCGGTTTTATTTATTTATTTATTTTTGTATCTTGAGATCTATGACGTCATCAAATACTCGAGTTGTACTCAGGTTTTATTATGTTAATGTCGAGTTTATATATATATATATATATATATACATCCATTTTCTTCCGCTTATCCGGGGTCGGGTCGCGGGGGTAGCAGCCTAAGTAGGGAGGCCCAGACTTCCCTCTCCCCAGCCACTTGGGCCAGCTCCTCCGGGGGAATCCCGAGGCGTTCCCAGGCCAGCCGAGAAACATAGTCCCTCCAGCGTGCCCTGGGTCTTCCTCTGGGCCTCCTTCCGGTGGGACGTGTCCAGAACACCTCACCAGTGAGGCGTCCAGGAGGCATCCTAAACAGATGCCCAAGCCACCTCAACTGGCTCCTCTCAACATGGAGAAGCAGCGGCTCTACTCTGAGTCCCTCCCAGATGATCGAGCTTCTCACCCTGTCTCTAAGGGAGAGCCCAGACACCCTGCGGAGCAAACTCATTTCGGCCGCTTGTATCCGAGATCTCATTCTTTCGGTCACAACCCAAAGCTTGTGACCACAGATGAGGGTAGGAACGTAGATTGATCGGTAAATTGAGAGCTTCGCCTTTTGACTCAGCTCTCTCTTCACCACGACAGACCTGTACAGCGCCCGCTTCACTGCAGACGCTGCACCTATCCGCCTATCGATCTCACGCTCCATTTTTCCCTCTTTTGTGAACAAGACCCCAAGATACTTGAACTCCTCCACTTGGGGTAGGACCTCCTCCCTGACCCAGAGAGGGCACTCTACCCTTTTCCGGCTCAAGACCATGGCCTCGGATTTGGAGGAACTGATCTTCATCCTGGCCGCGTCGCATTCGGCTGCGAACTGCTCCAGCGAAAGCTGTAGATCACGATCTGATGAAGCCAATAAGACTACATCATCTGCAAAAAGCAGAGACGCAATCCTAAGGCCACCAAAACGGATCCCTTCAACACCTTGGCTGCGCCTAGAAATTCTGTCCATAAAAGTTATTAACAGAATCGGTGACAAAGGGCAACCATGGCTGAGTCCAACTCTCACCGGGAACAATCCAAACGATCCTTGGCTACAGAAGCTGGCTATTGGGATGTGGAATGTCACTTCACTGGTGGGGAAGGAGCCTGAGCTGGTGTGTGAGTTTGAGAGGTTCCGGCTTGAAATAGTCGGACTCACCTCTACACGTCTCTGGCTCTGGAACCAGTTTCCTTGAGAGGGGCTGGACACTCTTCCACTCTGGAGTTTCCCCTGGCGAGAGGCGCAGAGTAGGAGGGGGCGTGCTTGTTGCCCCCCATCTTGGTGCCTGTACGTTGGGGTTCACCCTGGTGAACGAGAGGGTAGCCTCCCTCCACCTATGTGTGAGGGGACGGGTTCTGACTGTTGTTTGTGCTTATGTGCCAAACAGCAGTTCAGATTACCCACCTTTTTTGGAGTCCTTAGAGGGGGTACTGGAGAGTGCGCCTCCTGGGGGCTCCCTTGTTCTACTGGGGGACTTCAATGCTTACATGGGCAAAGACAGTGAGACCTGGAGGGGTGTGGTTGGGAGGAATGGCCCCCCTGATCTGAACCCGAGTGGTGTTCTGTTGTTGGACTTCTGTGCTCATCATGGATTGTCCATATCGAACACATTGTTCAAGCATAAGGGTGTCCATATTTGCTCTTGGCACCAGGACACCTTAGGCCGCAGTTTGATGATCGACTTTGTTGTCATCTCATCTGATCTGCGGCCGCATGTCTTGGACACTCGGGTGAAGAGAGGGGCGAAGCTGTCCACTGACCACTACCTGGTGGTGAGTTGGCTCTGATGGTGGGGGAGGATGCTGGTCAGACCTGGCAGGCCCAAACGTATTGTGAGGGTCTGCTGGGAACATCTGGCAGAGTCTCCCGCGAGACGGAGCTTTAACTCCCACCTCCGGGAGAGCTACGAACACGTTCCGGGGGAGGCGGGGGACATTAATTCCGAGTGGACCATGTTCCGCGCCTCTATTGTTGAGGCGGCTTATCAGAGCTGTGGCTGCAAGGTTGTCGTGCCTGTCATGGCGGTAACCCTCGAACCTGGTGGTGGACACCATCGGTGAGGGATGCTGTCAGGCTGAAGAAGGAGTCCTATCGAGCCTTTTTGGCCTGTGGGACCCCGGAAGCAGCTGATTGGTACCGGCAGTCCAAGCGGCATGCGGCTCAGGTGGTCGCTGAGGCAAAAACTCGGGCGTGGGAGGAGTTTGGAGATGCCATGGAGAATGACTTCCGGACGGCTTTGAGGCTATTCTGGTCCACCATCCGGCGTCTCAGGGGGGGAAAGCGGTACGCAACCAACACTGTTTATAGTGGGAGTGGTGTGCTGCTGACCTCAACTCGGGATGTTGTGGGTTGGTGGGCGGAATACTTTGAAGACCTCCTCAATCCCACCAGCACATCTTCCACTGAGGAAGCAGAGCCTGGGGACTCTGGATCGGGCCCTCCAATCTCTGGTGCTGAGGTCACCGAGGTAGTTAAAAAGCTCCTCGGTGGCAGGGCCCCGGGGGTGGATGAGATTCGCCCGGAGTTCCTAAAGGCTCTGGATGTTGTGGGGTTGTTTTGGCTTACACGACTCTGCAATATTGCGTGGATATCGGGGGCACTTACCCTGGATTGGCAAACTGGGGTGGTGGTCCCCCTATTCAAAAAGGGGGACCATAGAGTGTGTTCCAACTACAGGGGGATCACGCTCTTAAGCCTCCCTGGTAAGGTCTATTCAGGGGTTCTGGAGAGGAGGGTTTGTCGGATATCCTGATGCATGCTTAATAATCCAGGTAGAAAAATCCAAAAAAGTTCAATCTGGTCCTCTAGACATTGGTTCAGTATGAACCAGACATCAGTCATTGGTTCAGGTATGTTGATGACACCTGGGTTAAAATTAAATCTCAGGAAGTCCAACATTTTACTGACCACATCAACTCTGTGGATAAATACATCAAGTTCACACGAGAAGATGTAAAAAATGGCAGGTTGGCTTTCTTGGACTGTGAGGTCTCAGTCTCTGTTAGAGGACATTTGCAAACCGAGGTGTACCACAAACCCACCCACACAGATCAGCATTTGCAGTTTGACTCCCATCACCCTTTGGAGCACAATTTAAGAGTCATCAGGACTCTGTATCACAGAGCAGACAGCATCCCCACTAACTAACTGGGGGAGTGGTGGCGCAGAGGTTAGAGAGGTGGGCTTGTGATCCGAAGATCACCGGTTCACGCCCCGGCCCCGACAACATCAAAATTGTGGGTGGGGTAGGTGAAACACCCACACTTGTCCCCACCCTCATTCGCCCCACTCTGGGCCCATGAGCAAGGCCCTTAACCCCCACCATGTGCTCCCTAAACAGGTCTCTCTTGAAAATGAGTTCTCGTGGCTCAATGAGACTAACCTGGATAAATAAAGGCTAAATGAAAAAAAAAAAAAAAAAAAAAAAATCCCCACTAACTCAGGAGCCAGGCAGAAGGAGAAATCCTACACAAGACAGGCTCTAGAGCAATGTGGATATCCTAACTGGGCCTTCCTGAAAGCAGAGAAGAAACCCAAACAGGACTCCAGTCAGCCATCAGGTGAAAAGGAGGAACCCAGACCCAGACCAGTGGTCATTCCGTATGTTGAGGGAGTATCAGAGAAACTGAGACGTTTATTTTCTAAACATAACGTCCCAGTGGCTTTTAAACCCCAAAATACATTACGGCAAAGACTGGTTCATCCCAAAGATCCAGTCCCCCAGCACAAACAGAGTAATATTGTGTATGTTGTTCAGTGTCAGGAGGGCTGTGATCAGTCTTACATTGGGGAAACTAAACAGCCACTTGCAAAAGGATGGCCCAGCACAGAAGATCAACATCATCAGGCCAGGATTCTGCGGTCTACACTCATCTCCAGGCCAGCGGTCACTCTTTCAGGGATGAAGATGTTCACATCCTGGACAGAGAGGAACGATTGTTTGAGAGAGGAGTAAAGGAGGCCATCTTTGTGAAAATAAATCATCCATCATTAAACAGGGGTGGAGGCCTCCGGGTTCAACTGTCCCCCTCTTACACTGCTGTTATTGCTAGTATCACTCAACCCCCTGTGAATAGTAAACAGCCATCAGTGTGCTAATGATCCATTGTTAGGCTGATAGTCCTTCTTGACCATGTGAGCAGCTGGTTTTGGTTGTCAGTAGCAAACTGGTTGATCCACTCTGAGAAGGTGCTATTTAAGAGACTGAGCTGAATACAGCACCTCAGACTGAGGAAGTCTCTCGGATGAGAGACGAAACGTTTCTATATTTTTTTGCTTTGTTTTTTTTTTTTTTTTGAATGTCCAGAGGACCAGATTGAACTTTTTGGGGTTTGTCGGATAGTTGAACCTCAGATTCAGGGGGAGCAGTGCGGTTTTCGTCCTGGTTGTGTAACACTGGACCAGCTCTACACTCTCAGCAGGGTACTGGAGGGTGCGTGGGAGTTTGCCCAACCAGTCTACATGTGCTTTGTGGACTTGGAGAAGGCATTCGACTGCGTCCCTCGGGAGCCCTGTGGGGGGGTACTCCAGGAGATTGGGGTTCCAGTCCCTTTGATACGGGCTGTTAGGTCCCTGTATGACCGGTGTCAGAGCCTGATCCGCATTGCCGGCAGTAAGTTGGGCTCGTTCCCAGTGAGAGTTGGACTCCGCCAAGGTTGCCCTTTGTCACCGATTCTGTTCATAACTTTTATGGACAGAATTTCTAGGTGCAGCCAAGGTGTTGAGGGGATCTGTTTTGATGGCCTTAGGATCACCTCTCTGCTTTTTGCAGATGATGTAGTCTTATCTGTGTTTTGAACCTGTATGCTTCACACTGGTTAGTCGTCATATTTATTATCTGCATCATTTTTATGTCTATATTCTGATTCACCTCATTTTGTATATTGCTTTGTGTGTTGCCTGTTTTTCTGTCTGTACAGCACTTTGGTTGGCCTTATCGCTGTTTTAGGTGCTCTATAAATAAAATGGTATGGTATTGGCTTCATTAGATCGTGACCTACAGCTTTCGCTGGAGCGGTTCGCAGCCGAGTGCGACGCCACCGGGATGAGGATCAGTTCCTCCAAATCCGAGGCCATGGTCTTGAGCCGGAAAACGGTAGAATGCCCTCTCCGGGTCAGGGAGGAGGTCCTGCCCCAGGTGGAGGAGTTCAAGTATCTCGGGGTCTTGTTCACGAATGAGGGAAAATGGAGCGTGAGATCGATAGGCGGATAGATGCAGCGTCGCCAGTTAAGCGGGCGCTGTACAGGTGAAGAGAGAGCTGAGTCAAAAGGCGAAGCTCTCAATTTACCGGTCGATCTACATTCCTACCCTCATCTATGGTCATGAGCTTTGGTTTGTGACCGAAAAAACGCGATCACGGTTACAGGTGGCCAAAATGAGTTTTCTCCGCAGGGTGTCTGGGCTCTCCCTTAGAGATAGGGTGAGAAGCTCGGCCATCCAGGAGGGACTCAGAGTAGAGCTGCTGCTTCTCCACGTCGAGAGGAGCCAGTTGAGGTGGCTCGGGCATGTGGTTAGGATGCCTCCTGGACGCCTCCCTGGTGAGATGTTCCGGACACGTCCCACCGGGAGGAGACCCAGAGGAAGACCCAGGACACGCTGGAGGGACTATGTTTCTCGGCTGGCCTGGGAACGCCTTGGGATTCCCCCAGAGGAGCTGGCCCAAGTGGCTGGGGAGAGGGAAGTCTGGGCCTCCCTACTTAAACTGCTACCCCCGCGACCCAACCCCGGATAAGCGGAAGAAAATGGATGGATGATTATTTTTTATGAATAGATACAATTTACCTGAAAAGTGGACATTTTATTGATTACATTTTCTTGTGTAGCTCTAATAAAGGAAAGTGATAAGAATCTGTGTCGACAGTATGTTTGTGACAAGCTGATGGAAGTCTACGGGATTAAATGTTCGGTGAAAAATGTCCTCAACCTCGACTCGAGCACGGAGGAGAAGTTCAGTCGTCATCTTGTCTTCATCCTGGAGAACGCTGCGTTCAAAGACAACCTTCACGTTGGTATGGTCAAGCTTACATCAAACGTTTCTTCATACACACATTCTTTGTTTACTCTGTCTGACGTAGTGGTTTTTCTCTCTTCATAGGCAGGTTTGTCCATGCTGTTCTCCAACCAGTCATCAATAAAATCACAGTTGAAAGTTGTCCAGATGAAGGCCCAACAACAGAAGACAGTCAAAGTCGGTTAGTTTTGTTCAGGACTCATCTAAAATAAAACATTGAATTTTCTCTCTGTATTTTGTGTAATTTTATGTCCTAACGCTGACAGAGTTGTTTCTGAGCCGACTGAGGGTCCAGAGATGAAGAGACGTAAGGAGGAAGAGAGAGACCTCAGCTTCCTCCTGGTGAAAAACAAAGATGCACGAAACGGTCTTTTTGTGGATCTCGGTAAGTTTTATTTATCCTTTTAGACTTTTGCACCTGCTTAGATCACAAGTTTTCTGGTCTTAAAAATAAAATAAAGTTTGTTGTAGTGGTTTTAAAATAAAAATCCCACCTGGAAAACTAAGCAACGACTGAGAACCTAAACAGTTTTCTTAAAAGTGCATTTTTAATAAACATAAAAAGGGTGCTCTCACTTTCTATGAATAATGTCCTGTTTTATATTTCATTTGTGAGTAAAACACATTTCAGACCATTTTACAATAAACTGCCATAATTAAAGAAAGTTTGTGTGTAAAATGTAAGTAAAAACAAAAAGCTGTAATTTAAGAATCAAATAAATCCGTATTTTATTCACAATGGAACAAAATACGATGTTTAAAGTTTAAACTAAATATTGGACCAAGTTAATGGTAAAAAAGGGGATTTTGAATTGGTAACATCACAGCTCAAGAAACAAAAGACGGTAAAGCTAAGAGGCCAGAACCAGCTGCAGCTTTTAGTAACTCATTCATTCAACCTTTATTTAGAAGGTAAATCCCATTGAGCCCCGAGGACTCATTTACAAGAGAGACCTGACCTCGTTATGTCAGAGGACTGCGGATAAAATGAGACATTAGAGAATCTGTCCCAAGTAAAGATGGGCAGAGGTTCATCAGTTTGTAGGAAACTTTACATTTTACACAATGTCTCAACTTATTTTAAACATTATTTTCTGAGATTATGTTCTATTAATAATGGAGCAGCTAAACACTAATTTGCACAAGAATTATACAAAATGTGAAATTAGCACCAACCTTACAGTAGCACGGATGTTCAAGTTCAAATATCTTTGTTGTCATTCACATCACATGTAGTACATGAGGTGGAACAAAACTGTACTCGGTGTCCCAGTTACACCCAAAAGTAGCAAAAAAGTATAAAAAGAAATGGTATATAAGAATCTAAGATATACGTCAAACGAATGCTAAACGATACGCTAAAAGATATAAGATATACGCTGAACACTAATAATTTATAATAAATAATACGGTGTATTAAGCAGCAATCCGAACATGATGGATGTTGGTTCTACCTGATTGACCATCTAAACTCCAGCATGGTTAAATTATTATAATTATCCATCCGTTATCTTTATTCCTTTTTGGGTTGCGGGGGTCCATAATTATATTATTAATTGACTAATATGTGGTATTTGCAGAGTACAGGGCTACTGATGCAAGAAAACCTATAAATTGACACAAAGATTTTTTAAATCGATCAAGTCGTTGCAACATCACATTATGGTGCAGAAATAATCTCCTTTTGGCAGCCATCTTGGATTTTCAAATGATTTGGACAAATACCACAAAGGAAATTGTGATGCAAAGTTTGGTGCTAATATCCGCTCCAATGTGATGATCCAGTAGAACCACAGAGAACAGTTTGTCTCTTAATATCCAGTTTCTGAATATTTGTCTCTGTCTGTTCTGAGCTGGTGCAGTCTGAAGTTCTGGATCAGGACTAAATGTGGACCAGCAGTCTGATGACAGAATCATCGGAGTTTCTGAGGACGTGATTAGCTTGAATGAAGTCATGGAAAGCTTTGTTCTAATGTTCTTATGAGTCTAGATGTAGTTCAGTTGAAGGGAACCATCTTCCAACCTTCAGCTGTTTGAAACTGGAGCTCATGCACTTTTATTTGTTCAGGTGTCTACACCAAGAACAGGAACTTCCGCCTGTACAAGTCGTCCAAAGTGGGGAAGAACGCTGCGTTCACGGTAGCAGACGACAACGAGTTCGTTCCCGAACCTACAAGAGGCGTTTCTACCGAGGAGAGCGTTTTCCTGGCGTCTTTAGTGTGTAACGTCAGGTACAGTTGTGCACCGTGGAGCCGTCTCTTCTGCTGGGAGCTCGTTCTGACCCTGCTCCTGTCTGCCAGTTTTACAGCTCAGAGGATTCTCACGTGGGACGCTCCAGAAAGAAGCGGACCTCAGTGTCAGCAGGGACCAGCTTCAAATCCAGGTAGGACCGAGGGTGTGCCCGCTCACTCTGCAGGAATGCACGTCCTAATGAATATTAAAACACCTGAGGAATTATTTCAGGTGTTTACTCTTCTTTGTCCATCCAGCTCTAACCTTTCAGATATTATCTGTAGCTCTTTGAGTTGGTGATTTTGTGTGTTGCTGTAAGTCCATGACATCGTGAGTGTGCAGACTCCACAAACGCAGCATGGCAGCCTCCATGAAGAACGTAGCTTCAGTTTGACCACAGTTCTGTTGTATAGATTTTTCTTTTTGTGTCCGAAAGGTTTTTATTCTGACAAACGTTTATTTTAAAGTTGAAATGATGGTGAACGGTCAAAGCTGACTTTAAAACCTGATAAGTGATCACTTGTTTTGTATGTGTTGTAATATTTCAGTTTGTCTGAAAACTTTTATTTTCTGACAGGCACGGTCTCCGGCTGCAGTTCGTCTCCGTACCAAGAAGTGGACAACTTTGTGTTGACCTTGGTCAGAAAGGATGGGATTCAAGGATGTATGTGTTGCTGCGTGGCAGTTTTTAATTTATTACTTTGATTACAGCTCAATAAAAACATTCCTGAGTATCGGGTCACACTGATTAACGGAGCATTTGTTGCTTTAAATTTAGGACTGGGTTCACACATTTACAGTCGTGAAGTTAATAGTTGAGGAGCGGTCCTGATCCAGGACGTCACAGCAGCGTTGTGTGAATGGTGGATCATCTCTTTTGTTTCAACTCCACAGACGTGAGAAGATGGAGCTACTTCGCTGCAGAGCAGCTTCTCGTCTACGACATCAACAAGTACCGCTGGTGTGCCAACGTGGGCCGGTTCCACAAGAGCAACAACATCATGTACGTCCAGCACGTCCTGCTCCGAGGCCCGGGTTTGGTTCTGATCTGCTCTCGTGTCTGCAGGATCGTTGTGGATCTGAAGGAGGAGGTTTGGTACCAGAAGTGCCACGACCCAGACTGCAGAAACTTCCGGTCGTCGAGTACGTTGGGACAGTTTTTATAATAATTTGAGGTAAGCTGATGGAAGTAAAGCTGTCACTGTTGCAGGTTATCCACTGCCGCAAGAGCTGTGCGTCCGCTACATCCTGGCTCTGGTTAGTCCCTTCAGTCTGAAGTCCTGAACCGTTGTTCACGCTGCAGCACGAAGTGATCATGTGTGCTGTTCACCGACAGGACGAGGAGGACCAGGCGTACATCATGGACGACGCAGGCAACTTCCAGCCCGGCCGAGCGAGTCCAGACGACAAGACTCCCGACGTGTGGGGGGACGACCAGGAGTTCTTAGAGAGCCTGGACCAGTTCGAACAAACCGGCGAGATCTCAGACCAGCTGCTGCTCGCCTGCGTGGACGATGGTTCCTCCCTGCAGGAGGGGCAGACCGACCAGTAACGCTCAGAGTAAAACCTGCGATACAGTGTGGTTCTGAATGGAGGCGGCCTTCAGTCTGTCAGAACAAACCTACTGCTGCACCTTTACAGTTTCCTGTTCTTTTATAGACGATCACTAAAACAAGACAAACATCCATTAATAAAAGACAACTTACACTTTGAAGTATTTTATTTGACACAAGTCCGACATTTAGGAAAACATCCTGTGTGCTCTTTTATAAGAATCAAAACACATTTTCATGTTCAGCTTTTCACAACTGTCTGAAACTGAAGAGCAACAAAACCTGAAATGTTCTCTCTTCACGTCAGGACGTTGAAATGATGGAGTGACACCGCAGCGTCGCCCGACAGAAAACTGGTTATTTAAACAGACATTTTAATGGCTGGGGTCCTGACAGGTTTTAAATCTGTACAAACAGGTCCCTTCTTCCTCCTTCACTTTTTATTATCGATATGTGAGAAACGCTACAAACAGCAGACGAACTGGGTTCAGACAGCAGGATCGTTGTTTGTATATAAACTCATGTTGACGGCAGCCGACCATGTCCCAGTTTTTAATGCAAGACGAACTTAAAGGCACCGAAGAGGTTCCCGACTGGACAGGATAGCTACATTCAATAATTTACATGCTTTAAACAACAAAAAGCACTGAACTCTTAACATGTTAATGAAATCAGTCGTTTCTCATTTGAACTCAGACTTGTGGGAATGCAGGTTTCAACTACAAGGTGTCAGAAACACAATCTGCAGATAAACTTTTACACTATTTACACGTCTGAGCATCGCATGAAATAACACGTTACCAAACTGTTGAATAGCTTGGTGTATAAACAGTTGGTGTTCGTCACGGTAAAGGATTTTTTTTGCTACAGGAATATAAAAAAAATAAGCTAAATTATTTTCTGACCTTAAAGAATCCGCCTTAATGGAAGAAGGAGCTCACCTTTCCCCTTTGATTGACAAACCCAATAATCAAAATTTACCTTTAACTTTATCATTTACCCGTCAAAGTAAAGAAAATAAATACTTTAAAGCTGAGATCCATTGCCCCGCTTCATGAAATGATTCGTACCCATTAACTTCCACCATCAATGACAGAAACGTGGAGGGTCCTCCGTTTGGACGTTTTTACATTTTAATTGTGGCGTAAAGTTTGTCGATTTGTTCTCTGAAGCAGCTCTGGAGCTCGTTCCTCTTGGCCTTCAGGGTGGGGGTCAGCAGACCGTTCTGCACAGAAAACATCTCTGGATGTAGCGCGATGTCTCTCACCTGCAACAGAAAACAGCATAAATACTAGAGCCCAACCGATGCTGGCCGGGCTGACATAAATGTCTGGACCTATTGGTATCTGTGAGAATTGTCCCATAATGCACCAATATAAACACTTCTCATTTCCACCCCTAAAATGCTGGAACCAGCCATAATTGTACAATGTATCCAGCAGAGTGCGCATGAAGACAACTTCAAGTCATGGCCGTTCACTTTAAGTTTCACTTTCATCACAGCCGAAGCAGCGAACAATAGCATGGTGTAGTTTGCTGAACAGAGCATAGCAAGTTTATTTGAACTGATCTGTAAAATAAAAACAATAATAAATTATCTTCAATCCTTCAACCTGCTTGTCATTATGCCTCTCAAGTTAGCAAGCTAACGTTTAGATAACCTAGCATAAGCTACTGCCTTGTAAAACGTTATCCAGAACAAACGTAACGAAGAGGTAAAACAAAGAGTTGGTAACGTTATCTTTGTCGTCCTCAATGAAATGCATTGTTTGAACTTTAATTCTCTGCAAAGAAAAAAAAATGCAGCTGTGGTCAATATTAATCAGGCCTTCATACGTGACTGTTTCAACAACGAACAGGGAAGGGTGTTTCTTAAGTTTAATTTATATTTATGGAACACACTTGATAACTTTATGGTGAATAGTGGAGGAAAGAAAATGTGAACGCATGTTAGGAAGACTGTTTTTGTGACCAGTGCACCACTTATAATCCTAGAGTGGGAATACGTATAGCGTGGATCTGGTTAGCTTAGCTACATGGTTGCTAACAGCTGTGCTAAATAAACAAACCCAGCTCCACATTGCTGTTTTCTTAGATTTCATTCATTAATAAAAACAAAAACTAGAAAGCAAAGATTCCTGAAATGACTGGAGTGGTGGGTTTACATAGATAAGAGGAAGAGAAGGCGTTACGATACCTAAAGGATCTTTCTGTAGCTTCTGATGAGATTATTTGTAATTATAAACTTTAAATACACGGAAAGCTGCCGTGTTTTATTCCTCTAGCCTCATGAAATTAATTAATATAAAATATTAGTATAACGTTTAATTGAAAGGTTTGTATTGAAACATCAACATTAGTAAAAATGTATTTAGACATGGAGATCGGATCAGAACCGCTCCAGATGAGTTCATCCAGTTAGACGTGTCCTCATCTGGTATTATTACGAGAGCAGATCTGAAAGTCCAACATGACATCAGTCACCTGTTCAAAAGACTTGAGTCCTGCTTCTTTACCCAAACTCAGGATGTCCTCCAAAATGGCAGATTTTACATCCTGAAATAAGAGAGAAGGCAGAGATCAGACCAGGAGTGTTGAGCTGCAGCGTCAGGATCGTTTAAACAAACCCAACCTTGTTCTGGCACAGCTCAGAGTAGGATCCTTCAAAGCCTTTTCTCTTGGCCCAGATAGGCAGGAAGTCTGGATCCGGTACCACGATCCCCACCAGGCAAGCCTGAAAGGATCCATGACGTAAACCCAATTAAACGTTTACAGTGTCAGGATTAAAACAACAAAAAGTTTGGATGAGCTCTTTACCTGCAGGCTGTCGCCATGAACAAAGATCTGGGCCACCGGGTCGCTGCGATTATAAACCGTCTCGATTTTCTCCGGGGCGATGTACTCTCCCTGTGCGAGCTTGAAGATGTGTTTCTTTCTGTCAATAATCTTCAGACTGCCGTTCTGCACAACAAAGAACGTGATAAATCTGCAGCCAGGTGTGGGTCAGAGCCCAAATGGTTCTGTTGCGCTCACAGGAAGCCATTTCCCGATGTCTCCTGTGTGCAGCCATCTGTCCGCATCGATCGCCTCTGCAGTTCTCTCAGGATCATTCAAGTAGCCCTGGAACACGTTTGGTCCTTTGACGCAGACCTGCACCAACACAGGGGACACATTAAAACGTAACACTGCGACTGCTACACAACTTGTATATCTTCTGTTCTGCTGAATTCCAGTTTGTCGTTTCGGCTGCTCCCTTCAGAGGTAACGAGCGAACTCGCACAAAAGATTTGTTTTATGTCGGATACCTTTCCTGACACGCCTGGGCTTGAACCTTCAGCCTCAGGATCATGAGACCGCAGCACTGACCTCTGAGCTACCTCCTATTCAGTCTACACCGTATGAACGTTTATTTTTAATTAACCACACTGTGTGACACGTAAATGTCAATTTTCCTGAATTTTGATGCTTTTGTTTGTAAAATAAATGTTAATTTTGGAATCTCCTGAAGTTACATATCTTGTGACGTAACTTTAAAATGTGTACAAAACTTTGCTGGTTGACTATAAGTGAAGACAATGATGTGTTTTCTGATTTCAGATACACAAATTAAAATAAAACCCACAATGAATAAAACACTACACACAATAAAACAGAAATACGTTATAAAGTCAACTTTATACCTTTCCTGACTTTCACCACATTGATTAAACACGCTAGAGTTGTATTTTGGGCCCAAAAAAATCAGATCAGGCCCGGCCCCAGCCTGTAGCCATCATTTCTAAACCCCACCCAACCCGATGAATTAACAGCTCCATCCATCCATTATCTTTTACCCACTTCTTCCATTTTGGGTCACAGGGGTCGCCGGTGACCATGTCCAGCAGTCACTGCGAGGGGCGGGGTACACCCTGGATGGGTCGCAAGTCCAACACAGAGACAAACGAGACAAACAACCATTCACTCTCTCACTCACACCTAGAGACAATTTAGAGTTACCAATCAGCCTAACATGCATGTTTTTGGTCTGTGGGAGGAAACTGGAGAACCCGGAGAAAACCCACACATGCACGGAGAGAACATGCAAACTCCACCCAGAAAGACCCTCGGACCGGGGTTTGAACCAGGGACCTGCTCGCTGAGAGGCAGCAGCTCTACCAGTTGCGCCACCGTGCTGCATACACACTCTGACATGTCTGCTTTGGGATCTCACCAGTTTGGGTTGTCGGCCACACACGTCCGCTGAGTGCAGCGGCTGAATGAACATCCATTTGGGTGATGAATCACTGCCTGGCAGCACAGTCCCATCTGAAGCTTAACTGACCTTTATTTTACCTCAAGGCCGGTCAGCTCGCGGTGAAATGGCCACGTGGGGCTGGTGAAGGTATGGCAAGCCATGTTGCCATATAATCGGATCGCGGCTGATCCGCCGACGCAATCAAAAGCCCGACACGACTCGTCCCGTCCATTCAGCACATTATCATGGCCCGCCCCAAATTCAGGTCAGGTCGGACCGGGCTTCGGGTCCAGGTTAGAAATGACAGCTCTAAAACACGCCCACCAGGTGAGCACACACGTAGGCGCCTAACTGACACCACATCTGCGTGTGAATGAGTCATAGCACATTCTTCCCACAATGCTTTGCACCTGAGGCCGGCTAGCTGAAGGTGGAGCTCCTCACCTCTCCTTCTCCGTTGGCTGCCAGGTAGTTCATTTCTGCCACGTCCTCCAGTTTGACAGCGTTGCAGGGCAGTGGCGGTCCAACGTGACCTGACAGAACAACAATCAGAACCAGCTTAACGGGTCAGATGACCCGAGTCCACGTCAACAGAACCTCTTGGAGTTTCTTACCTGCTGACCAGTCTCCAGGCATGGACATGGTACATCCAGCTGTACACTCAGTCTGACCGTACCCCTCATAGAACTGGAACAGAACCAGATGATCAGAACTTGTTCATCTAGCAGCCGACCACACACAGAATATTTAATAATAATAATCATTTTATTTAAAAAGCGCCTTTCATGACACCCAAGGACACTTTACAGTAAGAACAAAGATCAACAGGAATAAATTGCATAAAGAATATAAAATACATAAAGAATATAAAATACATACAGAATATAAAATACATAAAGAATATAAAATACATACAGCAAAGTTAAGGATAAGCGAGTCTATAGAGATGTGTTTTCAGAGCATTCTTGAATATAGAAAGAGACGTGGTGTATCTTAAGTCAGGGGGTAGAGAGTTCCAGAGATGAGGAGCAGAGCAGGTGAAGGCCCTGCTCCCCATGGTGGAGAGGCGGGCAGAGGGTACATGGAGGTGTAGTGAAGAGGAGGATCTGAGAGAGCGAGAGGGGATGGAGATGTGTAAGAGGTCAGATAGGTACGGAGGGGCAAGGTTGTGGATAGCTTTGAAAGTGAGAAGAAGAATTTTGAAGATGATGCGTGATTTAACTGGGAACCAGCGAAGCTGCTGCAGGACAGGAGTGATGTGGTTATAGGAGGAGGTCTGAGTGATGACACGGGCAGCTGAGTTCTGGACCAATTGCCGCTTCTGGAGAGATTTGATGGGGAGGCCATAAAGAAGGGAGTTGCAGTAGTCAATCCGAGAAGTCAAGAGGGTCAAGAGGGAAGCTATTTGGGTCTGGAGACGCGTCATTTTATTTAGGCATCCTTTTGATCCAAAGAGCCACTCCTGCACCTTAACCCCCCACAAAACAAAATGTCTCTGGAGCCGCAAAAACCTGCGACGACTGATTATCAACTGCTGGCCCATGGGCCATGTCAAGATTGATGGACGGGACTTTTCTGGCCAGTGGGGGATGACATTTTAAAACTAAAAATATATAGTACATTTGAACAATTTAGGATTACACAAAAGAGAAGGAAATAAAATGCAGTTCACATCAATTCTGATAGAAATTCAGAGTTACTTATCTGTAAAATAAATTATCCGTAAAATAAATTATCCAAGTCCCACTTTAAAGTCATAAATCATAAACTTAAGATGTGTATGAAAGTAGTCCCATTCGTTGGAAATGCACGTGACTCGTTTAACTTTTTAATAAATACTTTTATCCACTTTGAAGTAAATTATATTTTGTTTTCTCATTTTTAAGCTCAATTTGACTCGTATTTCTTCTAAGCGACTTTTCCGAAGATGATAAATCTACTCTACATGTTTTGCTCCTTGCTACAAATTTCCACATATTTTCAGAAAATTGGCAGGAAAACTGCTCCAACTAGTCTTTTGTGTTGTGGGTACAAAAGGCTGATTCTGAAGCAGCTCAGATTGATTTCAGCAGTACTGAAGAAGCGGCTGTGGGTTTATAAAGGAGGGCGGCGATGACGGTGACTCACTTGGCAGCCGAGAGCAGCTCGCAGGAAAGTCAGGATGGTGGGCGACACGGGGGCGGCTCCGGTTATCATCAGTCTCACCCGACCTCCAAGACTCGCCTGGAAAGGTTTAAAACCCAAAGTGAAGGTGAAAACGTTTATGTAAAAACGAAGGTGAGGGGTTCGTTAACGGCTGACCCAAACATCTGCTCGAGTCGGAAGCAGGCAGCTTTACCTGGACCTTTTTAAAGATGAGTCTGTCCCACATGCTGTCCTTTCTGACCACACCATTTTTAAGCTCCGCCTCCTTCCTCCTGAAAGCAAAGTCCAGCAGCCATCTTTTCAGAGGCGTGTTGGCCTGACTGAAAACCTGGAGGGGAGTTCATGTCATTAAGTCCAGCGAGGAAGAGGACGCTGCTCAGAAATAACAAAAGGCGCCTGACCTTGTCAAACATGCGGTTGAGGAGACGAGGGACGACGGGAAAGACGGTCGGCTGCAGAGTCTTCAGGTCATCCATCAGGAGTCGGATGTCTCCCTGGAAGTAGCCGATTCGTGCCCCGTGGATGAGGATGACACCCTGAAGACAAAAAGGCTGATTATTCCAACTTTCATCAGTCGAACCTGCAGTCTGAGCACTAGAGGGCGCTGTTGAATTAATCACTGCACAAGAAGGAAGGCAAACAAAAATCCTTCAGCTTTTATCAGAACTCGAGACATTTACGGGTTTACCAACAAGTAGTTTACATCATGACATGCAGACATAACAAACCTGAAGTTTTATGAGCTTAAAGAGCTGATTCAAATATGTGAAGGTAAAAAGCAGCACACATACCTGCACAACCCGTTCAAACATGTGAGCGAGGGGGAGGTAGGATATGTGAACGTCGTGTACGTTCAGCATGCTGTGCACCTGCAGGGGACACAAAACAACACATGCACGTGTGCACGTCAAGCACTCGTACCTCCACCACCCTCTCGAACATGTGGGCCAGGGGCAGGAAGGAGATGAGCACATCTTTGGTGCCGGCCCTCAGTGTCTCCTGAGCCGCACGGGCCAGAGGGCGGGGCCACGGAACGGGAGGCGGATCGAGGGTCCACCGGAGGCACATAACGTTTATTTCATCAAGAGTTGAACGCAACGTTCTCCGTTAAAACAAGTTTCATAAATGGATTTTATAATGCTGTGTCCAGGCTAGGCTAACAGCTACCTGAACGTTTTATAAGGAATCATCAGATTTATAAAACAACGTTCTCTACGACGACACACTGCTCTGTGCACATTTAGCTTGTTGCTGTTCTCTGAACCAAACCACGTCGGCGTTACAACAAGAATGAACGGCCCAGCTTACACAACACTGGTTATGAACGAATCCGAAGCATTTCTACTGCGTTTGGCCACTCGCGTACACAACAGTGCTCGTTTTCTCTAAAACTGAAGCTTTGTGAATCCAGGGTTCTTAATCTAAGAATGAAGGATTTATAAAGTTGTGAAATCACGCAGTGGTACTGGAGGCTGCAGTCAATGAGCCACAGAAACATTGGAGGGCAGCAGGGTGCACCCACAGAGGGCACTTTGCCCGCCCCGCACATCTTTTCCATCTGTGATGGCGTCCAAAATGGCCGACAGCTGCAAACTGTTTAATTAACAGAAAGCCCAACTGGATCTGTCACAATATCTGTGAATTAACCCTCCACCTTTATAAACCCTCCATTATTATATGTACAATAACTGATAATAATTGATATAATTAATGTTTATTTAGACAAGAATTATGTAAAACAGCTCTATGTTGTAGAATATATTAAAATAAACTAACAATGATCTAAACACGACCTGAAGTTCATCAATAATGATTTCAAGACTTTAGCTGCTTCAGTGATTACTTGATGAGTTTGAAACAAATGGTTTTAACATGTAAACTGTGTTCATGCAGGCTCTGCTAGCTGCAGCTACCTGCAGTGATCAGTGTCCAAGATTAAAAAGAACTTTTTCAGAATTCATGCAGAGAGAGCAGGTGATGAGCAGCTCGGACTCTTTAATAACTTGTACTAAACTGTAGCACAGCACATCTGCCACAGAAGCTACGATCTAACTTTACATCAGCTGTAAACAGATCCATTAGCAGCTTCAGTTCTGCTCAGATCACATCGAGCTAAATAAGATCAAACCTGCTGACTTGTGGAAGGAGACACGTTTTCCCTTTTCTCCTCTGTTGCTACATTCGTAAAAAACAACTTCCTGACATATTTACAGTTTATTTACAGGCTAATAATATATTATTATTATTATTATATCACAGACATTAATGTAGTAACTCGGATGTTGATTAGCTGAATAAACAGCAACAAACTAAACAAATGGTGCAGATAATGCAGCGTTTTTCAACAGCACTTTGTGATTTTTGTGTGAAACACTTGATGTTTAGGTTAGCCGTTAGCATGAGGCAGATGAAGTTTTGCCTCTTCAGACTCTGTTCTCCATCACTGAACTGATAAACTAAACAACATTGTTTTAAAAATGACCGCACTATCCCTTTAAATGTTTTTTTTTGTGCTTTACATTAAAGAACTTTGTTTATTTCTTCCTTACTGTAGTGAAACTCTTAATTATTACTGTAGTTAAAGGTAATTTATTAACATTAGAAAATGTTTAATTTTGATCAAATCAGAGAAAAACTTGGAGAGAGGATCAGTTTTCCCTTTAAGTCTCTGTAGTTTTACCCTGAAAGCAGTGAAGCTTTTAACTCGTGCAGCCATGGGAACGTTTAATGTGACAGTTCTGGTGGAGGTTCTAACTGGGTCACAGGTGAAGCAGGTGTGTGTGTTTACCTTCGTTACTTTAATGAAAGCTGCCGTGTTGGAGACAACATTCCTGTGAGTGAGCATTGCACCTTTGGGGTTCCCTACAAAAGAAAACTGAATTAAATAAAACACCAAGGTGAGAACGAACGAGTTATTTTAGTCGTGACTCACCTGTGGTTCCAGATGTGAAGCAGATGATGGCGAGGTCATCTGGTTTGGGAGGCTGGAATGAGTCATTCATGATAACAACACGTTATTTAAATGTGACATTAAAGCCGTGCTGCCTAAAGAACGACCGCAGCTGAATCGAGGGCTCTTCATCAAGTTGGTCTGTGGTGTTTGTGCTCACCAAAGGCTTCTGATGGACGGCTTTACCCGCAGCCTGAAAGAAATGAAACATAAAAAGCATTCGATCACAGCGAACGCTTCACGAACGAATCGAGCCGTTTGTGACTCTCACCTCAAAATCCTTCAGACTTATAATCTCGACGCTGCCCTGCGCTCCGCGGCTCACCAGCTCTTCATCAAACGCCTCCATGAGGACTATCGTCTTCACCGTTTTGCCTTTCCCACCGATGCAGTCCAGAATCATGCGGGCCTTGTCGGGAACGTCGCAGATCACCGTCGATATGGAGGCTGAAACGCAGACGACACGCAGCTCCTCAGAGCCGGCAGCTTACAGGCGAGGGAGGCGGAAACCTTTTATACCTTTGTCGATGACATAGCCGATGGACTCGGTGCCGAGTGTGTCGTACAGCGGGACGGCCACCATGGAGTAGGTGTAGCAGGCCAGCTCGCAAATGGACCACTGCAGGGACAGACAGAACCTTGTGATGGGTTTAAAGGAACAGAACCCCGGCAACGTAAAACAAAGAGGGAAAACAGATCTGCAAAGAATGACGGGTCAAAAATAATCACGACTGCACCTTTCACAAAGAAATATAAGAGTATCGCTAACGACATGTCTCCTGTTTTCACTTTGACCTTGGTTTGACCTTGACCCTGGAGCTGGGAGGATTTAAAGAGTACCCAACACATTTAAAACTTTAAGATACAAGTGACTGAGGTGGAGGTCCTTCAGTGCTAACAAGATCTTTGAAAGTGGGTGTCTGTGTAAAGTTACAAACAGTGAATATCTTACCTGTTGTAGATCGCTCTTTGAACACTTGAGAATCATCTGAGCTGCTGCAACAACGACGATCATCTCAAAATATTTAAAATGTTCATGCAGATCTTATTTTAAATCTTTCTCCAACCAGCAGTTCCACGTCAAAGTCTCTAGCTGTGGCGGCAGCAGCTAGCTGTATCTTTGCAGCTTGTGAGCACTTTCATCATCAACATCATCATCATCATCATATTTAAGAATACAGTAAAGTTATGTGGAATTTTAAAGCTTTATAACGTAGATTTACTGAACGTTTTGAGACTGGAGTTGCAGCTTTATCAGTCCATTCAGAATTAAACTGAGGCAGCTCAAATGCCATCTACAACAGGTCAGATACTGATTACTCATTAACTGTGAAAGAACCTTACTTTAAAACCTTTGAACTCTCCCTTTAAGGTTGCAGCTTGTACCTTTAAGTACAAACGCAGATATTCACGAGACGTCTTTGCAAAGGAACAATGATTTATATTTGTCTTTCTGTGAACTCTGACATCAGGCGCTTTAACTATTGATGGAACAGTCAGACAAGAATTTAATGATTAATTATGGGACCTGTGGAGAAAATCTAACGTACAGCTTTGAAACAGCGAACCAGTCCTGTAAACTAAAGCTGCTTCAGGCTGAAACGTTAGCATGAAGCAGAAACTCAAACAGAGGATCAGTGAACATCTGGAGGTTACCTCTGGCCTGTTTTGTGAAAAGATGCCAATAAACTTGTCTCCTGTGTGAGAATGTCCTTTGTGAAGAAGAGCCGATCCGATGTTCTCTGCTCGGTCCACCACCTAAACAAAAACACATTTAAAAATAAAACGAGTATCACATATGACACATCGTCGAACACACAGCAACGACATGGACAAACAAAGACCTGTTTTTAACTGTGGGGGGTTGAAGTGTTGGCGACACCGTCAGGTGATGCTGAGTTTATGAAGCTACATAAATATATGTGAACTTGTTCTGCAGGAGTTATGGTCCTACCTCTCTGTAAGTCTGCCACTCGTATGGCTGGTTCGGTTTCCTCGACCCGAGACAAGGTCCGTTATCTGCCAAAGACAAAAGGCAAGTTTTGTTTTCCTCTCATCGGTGCTTCGGGTGGTTTCACGATGAACTTGTTCACTCACTCGACACTCGGAGTCCTCGCTGGAACACCTCGTACAAAGTGCGAGCGTCGCTGTAGTAATGCGTCATGAAGTCGCTGTCGTCGTCGTTCAGCACCGACCTCCTGGCTCGCTCTCCGTCCTACGAAGAAACAAACTGCGAGCTGAGTCCCACACGTATGCACGCTATGATGCAGTGAAAACACGTCAGCCGCCTGCAGCTGTGACAGGAAGCATTCAGCGCGGGTCACTCACTGATATCTCCAGCGACTGCAGTCCAAGGTCACACGGCGGTTTCAGGGCTTTTGGTCGTGTGGCAAACCAGTACGTGGTGATGGCGGCGAAGGCTCCCATACCCATGAAGGCATTTGTTGGGAAGCCTCGGATGTACTGCCGAACATCATCCAGCTCGGGGATCCGCAGCTGTCTCAGGAGGTCCTGAGCCTGCATGGCTGTCCTGCACTGAGCCTGTCCAAAACACACACACACAGAGAAAATACAGTTCAGTTGGATCATTGTCTGATTCCAGGACCCAGTTTCTACCAAGCTCCAGCTGTCGGACAGACAGCCTCCCGTCCAACTCTTTGGTTACGGAGGAGTTCAGGAGCCCACATCCTCAAACATGCACCACCTTTCACCTCCTAAAGAAGGAGCAGACTCACACTGACAGAGTGGCATCGTATGAAACCTGCTGCTGGATGAAGGCTTCCTAAATGATTGATCAAAGTTCAAGAGCTACAAGGCGAGTTCTGAAAAATCTAACTCTGTTCATCCATCCATCCATCCATCCATCCTCTTTACCTGTTTCTTCCTTTTTGGGTCGCTGGTGCCCATGTCCAGCAATCACTGTGTGAGAGGCAGGGGACACCCTGGACAGGTCTCAAGTCCATCACAGGGCCACATAGAGACAAACGAGACAAACAGCCATTCACTCTCACTCACACCTAGAGACAATTTAGAGTTACCAATCAGCCTAACATGCATGTTTTGGTCTGAGGGAGGAAACTGGAGTACCAGGAGAAAACCCACGCATGCACGGAGAGAACATGCAAACTCCACCCAGAAAGGCCCCCGGACCGGGATTTGAACAAGGTTAACCTGCTCGCTGAGAGGCAGCAGCTCTACCAACTGCACCACCGTGCTGTCCCTAATTGTGCTCCATGAATATTCTTTCTTCTCCTGAACTCTCATTTCTTTGGAGACTTTTGTTCCACAGAAACATTTATAATAATGGGAGATTTTAAATTTTCATTCAACTTTTATTTAGACAGGTTATTCCCATTGAGCCTCGAGGGCTCATTTACAAGAGAGACCTGAAATAAGTAAATAAAGCTCCTGACATCCATCGACTGGTTCAGGTCTGTGGACCAATGTTCACCATTCAATTAATATTGAACAGCTTTTAATATCTAAAGTTCTCAATCAAAATCAAAGGTCTCACTGATTCTGTTTTCAAAGCGTCACCGGAGTAAACAGGAAGTGACACAGACGTGCAGATTTTCCAGGTACATCTCGGCGGTGTTTGAGTCGGTTTTCGTTTTGGCGCCACGTTTTACGTTTGCAGCTCTTTTGACTAAAGTCTCCACTAAAATAAACTTTACCCAAACTATTACAAACAAAGGCAACTGGACTTAATTTCTTGTTTTGTTAATAAATTTGGTTTTATAATTCGGTGTTTGGAGCTGTAAAACTGAGCTCGCAGGTAAATAACACTCCCTACCCTCCCTGGAGAGGGTAGGCCTGGTCCACAAGAGCGATGTTTATGGACCAAACAATCATGAAACTCTCTGTCCAAATTAATCTCATGTAACAGAACCTCTCTACGTGGACCAGACTAACAAAGACCATAATGACCCTCCAAAGGGAGGGGAGGGAGCGCGATCTGCATGTGGGTTCAAATAGTTCAGATCAAATTCACTACACTTTTAAAACACTTCTCAATCTTCAGGGAACAAGAAAACACCAGCTGCTGTTTTAAAAAGCAGAAACTTGCAGAGCAACTGTAAATCTACAGAAACTCTGCAGGTTGAAAAGTTTCTCCCTGAAAGTCGCCCTTTGACCTTTGGCTGCTTTGCAGACCTCAAACTCAACGGAGGTGCGTCGCTCCATTAAACAGCTGGGAGGAAAGACAGCAAGGAAACATGACCCACGCTTTGTAATCACACGGCACAAACCAGCACAGCCGAAGCACGTGAAGCGTTCTGATAAACTGAAACCTCATCTGTCCACACGGCGCTGCTCTGCTGAATCTCCCAGTCAGATCAGACGTTAAACTGGGCTCAAGCCGAGCCTGGGGGAGACTTCAAGTCACTATTTAAACCCCTGAAATGTCAAAAACACCTAAACAATGAACCCAAATAAGAGACTCGGCTCTCGGCTGGTTCCGAGTCATTTGACCTCTGGATTGAAGGTATAATCAAGTCTCCGGAGCAACACTTGGCTGTTCATCTAAGTTTGATCTATGGAACTACAGGGACGGTCGGCTGCAGCCGGGCAAGGAGGAAAAGGTCCAAATGAAGGCGTTAAACACGTCACACCTGTTCCTGTTAGAGGACACCAAAGACCACCTCTGGACCAGCCGAGGTCCAATTTAAATCAACACATTTCCACTCAGATCAGTACTCACAGAGTGTGGACGAGGAGTGAAGGAAAGGTGAGACCGTGTCCAGACGGGAGACAGGTCCAGATCAGTGCAAGGCCCGGCAGGGCTGCAGTTGCTATTAGAAGGACTCCTGCTGACCTCTAATAGACCTCTGAAGTCCTCCCCACTATGAATAGCAGAGACACGCCCCTTGTCAAACAGAAACACAGAGGCGTGAGACACCTCACGTCACTCCCCGGTCGGAGTGACACGGAGTGACATGTGCTGCAGCTAGCAGTAACCCGTCTAACGTTTAGTCGGGACTTGGTGTGTTTAACGGAGTTTCAAAGCGGCGCCGGTCTGTGCTTCTCCCACCGATGTTTGTTTGAGGCCACATCTTATCAGTTACAGCGTGCACTTGTCATGTTGTTGAGTGTTTAAACAGCTGGAACGTGTCCAACGAAAAGATAAAAATGTTTGTGTTCTACACGTCTCTGATGTCTCTTACCACTATCTGCCTTTTCTTCTGCTGCGTTTCAACATTTACAGAAACTATTAAAAAAGTAACGTTTCCGTTTTATTCAGAGGAAACCAGTTTTTTTTTTTTTTTTTGGGGGGGGGGGGGGGGGGGTCACAGCGACGGGATTTATTGGTAAGTCTAAATTGAATCAGTCACTGAGTGAGAGTGTCTGTCTCGTTTGTCTCCATGTGTCCCTGTGATGGACCCATGTCTCCTCCAGGGTGTCTCCCCCCCCCCCCCCCCCCCCCCCCCCCAACAACTGCTGGAGATAAACACCATCTTTCCACCATCCTGCACGGAAATGTGGGTAAACCGGATGGAAAGGAATACGTCTTCATTTTCTTTCCTTATTGAGAAGGAACATCTGATTGGGAGTGGTGGCGCAGAGGTTAGAGAAGGTGGGCCTGTGATTGAAAAATCGCTGGTTCAACTCCTGTTACAGACAACATCAAAATGTGGGTGGGATAGGTGAAGCACCCACACCTGTTTCCACCCTCATTTGCTCCAGTCTGGGCCCTTGAACAAGGCCCTTAACCCCCACCATCTTCTCCCCAGGCGCCCTAGACTTCAGCTCTCTGCTCCACACAGAGGGCTGTGGTAGCTCAGTGGTCTTTGTGTCAGGAAGGACATTCGACATAAAAATAACTGCCAAGTCTTTGTGTGACTTAGTTCACTGTGGCGACCCCTAAAGAAGGGCGTGCCGAAAGAAGAAGATTGAGAAGGAACACCTGATGTCAATCAACGCGTCAATCATTTAAACGTGTCAGATTTAAAACATACAGGCTCACCTGGAGCCATGTTTGATGTGGGTGAACTGAGTAGCAACATTTTACCAGATGAACAGGAGCACCTGACTTCCTGTTTGATTGTCGCAGAGCGGTAGGAGCATCATCTCAAGTCGTAACAAATCAAACTGCCATGCCGTAACCAACGACTTCAACAACTTCATGATGCGCACGTGTAAAAGTGCTGCTAGTCATTTAGTCTTAATCACAAAAATGGACCTGACTTCCTCAAATGTCTTGTTTTGTCTCAAACAAAAATAGTTTTGTTCATAACAAAAAAAACCACAACTGGCATTTCAGAGCATTGAATTTTAAAGCTCACGTGACGACAAAATATTTGTAATAAACACAAAAAGGCATTAT